GGCCAACACTGTTCTTTTTTAAAATCACTTTATTGGGGGCTTAGACAACTCTTATCACAATCCATCCATCCATTGTGTCAGGCACATTTGTGCCTTTGTTGCCATCATCATTCTCAAAACATTTTCTTTCTACTTGAGCCTTTGGTATCAGCTCCTCATTTTTTCCCCTCCCTCACGAACCGTTGATAATTTATAAATTATTATTAGATTTTCATGTCTCCCCTCACCTACTTTTCTGTTGTCTGTCCCCCAGGGAGGGGCTTATATGTAGATCATTGTGATTGGTTCCCCCTTTCTACCCTACCTTCCCCTTCCACTCCTGGTATGGCTACTCTCGTTATTGGTCCTGAGGGGTTTATCTGTCCTGGATTCCCTGTGTTTCCAGCTCTTACCTGTACCAGTGTACATCCTCTGGTGTAGCCGGATTTTTAAGGTAGAATTGAGATCATGATAGTGGGGGTCAGAGGGTGGGGGAGGGAGCATTTAAGAACTAGAGCAAATTTGTGTGTTTCATCGGTGTTATACTGCACCCTGACTGGCTCATTTCCTCCCCGCGACCCTTCTGTAAGGGGATGTCCAGTTGCCTACATATGGGTTTTGGGTCTCTACTCCACACTCCCCCTCATTCACAATGGTATGATTTTTTTGTTCTTTGATGCCTGATACCTCATTCCTTTGACACCTCGTGATCACACTGACTGGTGTGCTTCTTCCATGTGGGCTTTGTTGCTTCTCAGTTAGATGGCCGCTTGTTTACCCTCAAGCTGTTAAGACCCCAGACGCTACATCTTTTGATAGCCGGGCACCATCAGCTTTCTTCACCACAAATCTGTGCTGGAGGTGGTCTTTGGGTTCAGGTGTGTGTACGTACACTCACGGCTCTGTTTTGGCTCTCGTGCAGTTCTTTTCATTTTCCTCGGTTTCAACATGAACTCGCCGATAAGCTACTGGTGATCAAATAAGCACCGACCGGCGGCCCTGGACCCTTCTTCAGCCCGATGACTTTGAGCTTCTCCGTGGTCTCTCTCCACAGGTGTTGTCGATTTAAATCCTGTATCTTTCACCTGGCAGGGTCCACTTGTATAGGTGCTGTTTAGGTTGTTGAAGAAGGATGTTCTCCATGACGATGCCTCTTTTCTGGAAAAGCTCTCTCTTGCAGTCCTCCGGGACTGTTTGCATCACCCAGGCCATCTCCTCCAGCTGCTTGTCCTCTGTCCCAGCCATGGCATTCCAATCTCGCGTTCTCACCACTGCAGCCGGATAGCATGTGCGATCAGGCTCAGATCGCAGAACGTGGGAGGAAACCGTCTGACGTCTTCATCTTTGTGGTTGGCACGTGAGTTTGAAGAACCATCGTCATCGTAACCGGTCTCCCTTGTACCCTAACACTGACGGCAGCACTTCAGAAAAGGACTTGACATTTATCCTTTAGGACAGCATTGTACGCCGACACCTATTTTGATGATTGATGAACGCAGCACCGTCCCTCTTCCGTTTGTCCTTCTGGGCACGGCCGACTGTGCGGTGGCCTGCTTCAGAATGCCCAGTGGCAGTCCGTTTTAGCTGACGACTGTCTCAGCCGCAGATCGCGCTGTGTCCCGACGCATTTTTCACAGCCCCCTGTTGTCCTAGCTTCATCTCGTGTGCATTCCCTTTCTAACGATTGATGCGTGTCGCAGCTCGCTCTTCTCCTTGGGACTCACGACACGGCGACAGACAAATCAAGGTCCCCAAATCTATTCCATCTGTCACGTGGGTCGGCTCCATTTTGAGGAGGTGAATAGTTTCTTGTCCCACTGTAACCACCCTCCCGTCTACGGGCGCGTCTTCCAGTCCTTATCAGACAGCGTGGCACTGATAGTTTGGCCTGGCCAGTTTCCATAGAAGTAGATGCCAGGCTCTTCCCAGTCTGTCCTGGTCCAGAAGCTTTGGTGAAACCTGTGCACCGTGAGTGCTTGGAAGACATACCCCTGACGGAGCTCCCAGCATCAGAGCAGCCCACTAGCTGCCACGGGTGGGGGCGTGGGGAGCTGAGAGGGGGAGTGGTGCTTGTGGAGTTTACGCAGATGAAATGAGAAAAAGTATTTAAGGTGCCTCGCCCACTGCTTGGTACACGGTAGAATGTCCTATTCATCGTATACTTAAGTATCAATATAGGCATGCCAAATATATATGTAAAGGTATACATACTTCTGACTTTTGTCATCTGTCGAGAAGCTTGGCTTTAGCCATTCTGAGACGCCCGTGGAAATTCAGACGGCGTCCAGCCCCGAGCGAGAGTCGACCGGGTGGCAAAGGTCGGGAGAGACCCGAGTCGTCAGGCAGACTGGATCCTGTGGACGCCAGCAGGGTCTTAGAGTGACCCGCTGACTCTGGTTAGAAGACGCGTTTTATGAGATTGTCATGGGGAAGCGTTAGTCTGACGCGCTCCCCTGAGTGGGACCCAATGAGTTGCCTTGAGAGGTAGAGAGATTCTCAGCTCTTGGGACACGCTAGCTCCCGGGCGGAGTACCCCAGACAGCAAGGCGAGAGTGGTTTTTATCGGGTGGTGCAAACACATGGCTAGGTGCTCATGGGCACGAGGGAGTTTCGGACCCAAACTCATCCTGGGATGGTTAAGCTGCTGCCCTCCTTCGCATGACACCCTCTCGTCCCCAGCCTTCTAGGACAGGTGGGTGAAGGAGGGTGTTTTTGGGTCTGGCCAGCCAAACCCTTTCTACCCCTGTCTCTTAGCCAGCAGTTCCTCACTGGCGCTCACAGTTTGGCCCCAGGTCCACGTGGATGGCGGTGCAGTTGAGCTTTTTCTGAGAAGCTGAATTGTCTCTTCGGTGTGAAGCGGAGAATTTAGGCCCAGCTGCAGTCTGATTCAGAAGTGGAGTTTAAATTTAGCCCGGGAAAGGCGTCGGATCACGCCAGGGCCCTCGTTTTTTGGTGGTTTGCTTATACAGGATGCAACGTGCATGTTAAATCCAAACAAGTGGAAGCGTGTTGTCTTCAAAAGTTTAAAAAACCTTAATGTTGGGGCTTGGTGTGGTGAGAGCTGAAAGAACAAAAAGTTTTTTAAAAAGGTCGCTACTTCGTTGGCTTTCTAAACGAGCATTTGAAATCTCAGCAAGAGCCTCTGCTTTGAGGCTTCTGTGCCTGGTTTTAATAAGTCTTTTTTTAAAATCCGGAAGGACAGAGAACCCAGCCCCTTGCCGTGATCCTTGTGGGCGGTAGAACCACTGCTGTGCGTTTCTGAGACAGTCCACCTTTACGGAGCAGACAGCCTCATCTTTCTCCTGTGGAGTGGCTGCTGCGTTTGAACTACTGACCTCGAGGTTAGCAGCCCCCAGTGTGTAACGCACTCCACCAGGGCTCTCATTTTAGAGCAGTGGTTCTCAACCTTCCTCGTGCCACCACCCTTTCATACAGTTCCTCGTGGCGTGGTGACCCCCCATCCATAAAATCAGTGTCATTGCTACTTACTTCATCACTGTCATTTGCTGCTGTGATGAACCGTCATCTGATAGGCAGGATGTGTTTCCATTGTTACAAATTGAATGTGATGAGAGCATAGTGATTCATCCCAAAAACCAATATGTCACTATGTATTGTGAAATGTTTGTTTCTAGTGACAAATAAATGAAATTGTGGCTTGCAGCATGGTGTAGCGTGGGTCACAGTCTTCACCACGGTCCTCGTCTGTGGGCGTATCTGCATGTGGGCGGACCCGCCTGGAGACGATAGAGGAGCGGTGTCTCAGTTCCTAAGACCATCGGAAATAACGTGTTTTCCGATGGTCTTAGGTGACCCCCGTGAAAGGGTCGTTTGACCCCAAAAGGGATCGCGACCCACAGGTTGAAAACCACTGTTTTAGAAGATAGTAAATACTTGTTTTCACGCAAACGTATACATTGTATTCAGACACTTCTTATCTCATGCTAGGTTTCATTTGGGGTTGAACACAATCCTCAGTTGATCATCAGTCTTCAGTTGGCTATCAGGGTTTTTGTTTGATATGTCCCGTCGTTCAGTCCGCACATGAAGGGCCCTTGGTGGCACAGTGGTTAGAACACGCACCTGCTAAACAGAAGGTCAGCTCCTCAAACCCACCGGATGCTGGACACGAGGAAGCTCAGACAGACGGCTTCTGAGAAGATGGCCGTGTGGGAGGCAGTGCTACGAGGCAGTTCTGTTGTGTCCTGTAGGGTCAGTCGGAGCGGAATGGACTTCAGTGCCAGTGGATGCGGTTGGTTCCTCTCTGCGTTTACGGAGGCAGCATGAAACTTGTGGGTTTCCATTTGTTTCCTGGGTAGTTGATGGTGTAGCGCTTTAACGAGAGAGAACTTCGGTCTTCATTTCATTTCCTGTGTGATCAGATTTCCAGCTCTATACGATTTCAATTTATAATCCAAATTTGTGTGTCAGAAATCGAGTTGCTTGGTTTTAATTATAGATTGTAACATGGCTGGCTCTCCCCTCGAAAGGATAATTCATGTGCTGAAAAGAGCAGCTAGTGGCTGTGGCTAGTCTTTGAATAGCTCTCTCTCTCTCTCTCTCTGTCTCAATTCCGGGGAAAGTCTAGACAGCAGGTTCTCGTTGGCATTTCCATAGAGATGACTGAAATTGGCTTAAGCTGCTAGGTGGCTTCTCTTTTGAAGGCGGCGTTTTATGAGTTAGCAGGACATGCCCACAGTCAAGAATACCCGCTGATAAAGCCAGGGTTGTCGCCAACAAAGTTGAGCTGCGAGCACAATGTGCGGAGTCTCCCTAATGAAGTAAGTGGGTGCGGAAGCCGCAGCCCTTCTGCTTTGCTTACAGGTTGGCACGAGTTGGCATTGTTGTTCGGGCGTTTCTGTTTTTGGCGCCAGTGAACATTGCACTTGACCTTGAGCTCTGACTTTGGCTGTCTGCTCAGGCTGGGGCAGTCTTGGAAACTTCTTGACCGGAGGGCTGCGTGACTGTTGAGGGTTACAGACACCCGCAGGGCCAACCCTTCTCCCCTTTGGTTTGTCTAGAAGACCTGCACCATCTGCCAGATGCTGCTCCCCAACCAGTGCAGCTTCTCGTCCCACCAGAGGATCCATCAGCACAAATCTCCCTACACCTGCCCCGAGTGCGGGGCCATCTGCAGGTCTGTGCACTTCCAGAGCCACGTCACCAAGAACTGTCTGCACTACACGCGGAGAGTCGGCTTCCGGTCAGTATGCCCGCCCCCGAGCGAAGGCCAAGCTCCTTCCCTGGGTGCACGGGCTTCCGGGGACACCCGAGGAGCCGATCCTCTGGGGACCCAGCTCCTCCACACTAGAGCCATTTGAATCCTGCTGGGGTGTTAATGCAGCAAGCCTTGCTGGTAATAATCTCTCTCCTGGATTAATGACTGGAGGGTCAGCGGGGCCACCATTCTAGGCCACATTGTGTGTCTGTGTGTGTGTGTGTGTGTGTGTGTGTGTGTGGTGAGGTCTGGCTTGAACCGGCTTGTGTAGCTTTTCCTCTTGTCCCCTCGGAAGCCCGCCATTGTCATGCGTCCTGCGTTTTCAGCCCTGCAAGAATACATGCCTTTCGGGGCCTCTTCCGGGCACACACGACCCTCCTGCTCAGTCGGAGCAGAGAAGGCTCTTGTGTTAGTCTGGGTAGACTAGAGAAACAAATTCATAGACATTCATGTGTATAAGAGAGAGCTGTATATACAAGAGCAATGGAATATTGAAAAAGCATCCCAGCCCAGTCCAGATCAAGTCCATAAGTCCGATATTAGCCACTATGCCCGATACCAATCTATAGATTCCTCTTCAGACTCACGAAACACATGCAATGATCCCAAATTCAGGAAGAGCACAGACTAGTGGGTGGAAATGTTTGTGGATCCAGTGGCAGTAGAGGCATCTCAGTGCTGACGGGTCTCCACGTAGCTCCTGCAGCTCAGGGAACTAGGTAGCTCCCTGTGTCTTGTCAGCTGCAGTGTCTCCCAGGGAGTGAGCCTGTGCCCCGCTTCCAGTGAGCTATTTATCTCCTTAGCGCCTCCAAATGAGGTCATCAAGCTATGACCTGATTGACAGACTTGACTCGGCCCCTTCACTCTTAATCCTCTCAACTTGACACCAGATTATGTAACTACCACAGCCTTCACTTTTTTTGGTCATTGATCAGGTTCTGTTTAATTCAGAATTTGAATAATGAATTTTGCCATTTTTGAAGTCTTGATTTTAAGAAACGGTAAGAAATTGTATTGGAAAATCAGCTGGTGAGGAGCTGATACCAAAGGATCAATAGAAAGTAAATGTCTAGAAAAGAATGATGGCAACATATGCACAAATATGCTCCACGTAACTGAGGAATGGATTATAATAAGAGTTGTAAGAGTCCCCAACAAAATTATCTTTCTTTAAAAATCATTTTATTGGGGGCTCGTACAACTCTTTATCACCATCCACGCATCCATCCATTGTGTCCAGCACATTTATACCTTGGCTGCCATCATCCTTCTCAAGACATGTTCTCTCTACTTGAGCCCCTGGTCAGCCCTTCACTTGTTCTTGTCCACACGGAAAGCTCCCGTGTGCGTCCTTTTCCAGCAACTCGTTGGGCAGAGCTTTCGATCAGTGCCCCCTTTTCTGTCTTCGTCACCCGCAGTCGACTGTCCACAGCTTCCCTTCCTACAGGGCTCTGTTACGGGAGAGTCTGCAGTGAGGGGGTCTTTCCACACACGAGCGGAGAAGGGTGAGGATGCCACCTGACGTGGGGCCAGCGTGGCCGAGAGTCTCTGAGTGGGACCAAGAGACAGTCAGAAAGAAGGCAGCCATCAACGGGTTAGAAGCCCCCGCGGGAAGGGAGGTAGCGAGAGAGACGCTTGTTGAAAGGATGTCCGTTCCTCCCCCAGAAATTTATAACTCATACGTAGTTTCTTACACATGTATCAGTGACCTTACATTTATCGGCATTTTCCCATGAGTGTTTTGAAACACCCCCCACCCTGTACTTTCCAGGAAACAAGAACCCAGGTGGTTGGCCAACTCTGCCCTAGGGCCCCCATAGCTCCGGCTTGGCTCCACTGAGCAGGGTGGGTGGACTGGGGGACCGTAGGTGGGTCTGGTAGACCTATCTTTGGGACCACTCCTCACCTGCCCCTCTCTGTTTGTCTGTTGATATTGATGGCAGGTTACATTGCAAAGTGACACTTCTTCCCACTGGGAAAGGCTCCGTGGGTCTTGGGGCTGGGCAGGAAGGTCGGGTCAGTCTGTAGGCGTCTCTTGCCAAAGCCAGCAGTCACCGGGTCTTGTCCCCAGTCTCGATGTGCCCCCCCACCAAACCCGTCAGTCTCCCCTCAGCCCACCCCCTCGCAGCATTAATGGGGCTTCAAATCCTGACCATTTGAGTTTTGCTTTGCTGTTTCTTGACCTTCCCTCAGAAGCATTTAAGAACAACATGATCAAAAAAAAAAAAAAAAGAACAACATGATCTCTTACAAGCGGCAGAAAAACAAAACAAGCTTCTCCCTGAGCCGCGAGGACCCCAGCAGGGCCATTTGGCGACATGCCCGTGTTTTAGCTTCCTCTCGCCCAGTGGGGTGGCACGTCTGACCAGCTGTTTATCTTCCTGACAGGTGCGTGCACTGCAACGTTGTGTACTCAGACGTGGCTGCCCTGAAGTCTCACATCCAAGGTTCTCACTGTGAAGTCTTCTACAAGTGTCCCATTTGCCCCATGGCGTTCAAGTCTGCCCCAAGTACACACTCGCACGCCTACACACAGCACCCCGGCATCAAGATAGGAGAACCCAAGTAAGTCATCTCGCCGGGCATGCGGGCAGGCCTCCGAGAGGCCACTGCAGTAAAGCGGACGTCGCCACTCAGTGAGCCACGTGAGCTGTTTGATTGCCTGCCACACAAGGGAGTGTCCCGCCCTTTCCTGTCCTCCTGACGGTGCAGTAGCATGACGGCGAAGACGTGCGCCGTGGTGTGAGGCTTGCCACCAGGTGACATGGAGACGCACATGCTCTTGGGTGAACAGGGTCAGTAGACTTGGTCAGCGCAGGGATGCCAGACATCTATAGTCTGTAAAACAATAAAAAGTGCCGTGTGTGTGGTCACGTGAGAAGGAGCCCTGGTGATGGGGTGGATGAGCTCTGAGCGGCTGACCAGGAAGTCCGAGTTCGAACCCAATAGCTGCTTCCCGGCAGAAAGACGAGGGAGGCTGTCTACTCGGTGGAGAGTCCCGGTCTCAGAGTCCCCTGGGCGGGCAGTTCTGCCCTGTGCTCCGGCCTCTCTGGGAGTCATACTGGACCCAGCGGCCGTGGTTTGTGTTTGGTTTTGCTTCTGTTTTGAGGAGACTAGAGGAGACAGTAGGTGTACTGGGTAAAGTGGACGGAGCTGAAAACGTTTATCAGGGTAATTTTCGAAAGATGTTTTCTTGTGAATTGGACGAAGGTTTACAGAGCCAACTCAGTGTTCCGTTCAGCAACACAGCCCGTCCGCCCCGTGTTTCCGGTCGTCTGTTAGCGAGTTTCTCCCGTTAGGTGAATGCGTGTTTGCTTGGTTCTTTCCTTAAAGATGATCGCGGCAAGTAATTCTGGGAGAAGTAAGAGAAACCGTTACCTGTAAATCTTTCCAGCCCGTATTCCTTTCAGGGTAGATGGGTTAGGTCGGTTTTAGAGACCGGTTACTGACTTTAACTTTGGAGCCCTGATTTGTGGGAAAAACAACTTCATTGTTACTGCTTTAATTCTGGTCTGAGTTTCAAGAGCGGCGGTAGCTGCTGTCGAGTCAGCGTCGGACAGTGACCACAAGGTCCCAGGTTCGCACCCACCGGCCGCTCCTGAGGAGAGGAGGCAGCCTCAGAGATCTGGCACAGGGTCTCGGCCAGTGGGAATCTACCTGGTGGCAGTGGGTGGGTAGGGGATCTTAATTCTGTCCTCTGGTTCTGTTGGTTCCTTCCCCTCCACTCAGCATTTCACCAGGCTACCTGTTGCCTAAGGGCTCAGCCTGGGCACGGAGCCAGGCAGGAGCCTCCCCACCCAGCCCTGTGTCCTTAACAGAGCTCTTTATACACCCCGTCCTTCGTCTCCCCCCACCTCGAGTGAGGGACTGCTTTCGTCGTAGAGTGAGGCTGAGGCTTGAACAGGGTGACCTTGGAAATGGGCAGGACCCAGCCCCTCTCTTGGTGCATGGAGGGTCTTTGTCACGGCCCCTCGTCCCTGATTGCGTGCACGCCCTGGATTAGAGGCTCACGGCCCTCTTCCTTGGTGTCTTGGCTGTATTAGTAGCAGTGTGGACTCTCTTAATTACGGGGGGCCAGAGTTACTCCCTGAATCACGGGTGTCGTGGGCGAGGAGCTTGGAGTGTGCCGTGGTTTACGTAGCTGGCTGTGCCGCTCGGTTTGGGGAAATGTCATTGAACCTGCCCGGAGCGGCTCAGCCTGCTTATGAAGTATGTGATGGCCGGTGCTTGGCGGGACTGAGCCCTCACGCCCAGGCTGCTCTGCTCATAGGCTCTGCCGCTTCAAGGCCGCCGACTTTGCCACACCTGACGGGGGTGCTGGCCACCTCACCATCTGTTCAAGCCACTGGGAGACCCCTGCAACATGCTGGTGGCCCACCTTTGCCCCAAAGCTGCGTTTTTGCACTAAACCCATGTCTGTTCTGTTTAGGTGGGTAGCCCTAAATGAGGAAGTTGCCCCCCCCCAAAAAAACCAAACAAACAAGGCGTGGGTAAAGAATCTCCTAGCAGGGTTGCGTTAGTAGTTAGGCAAGTGATTCAGTTTCACCAACTACTTTTAAAAAAAAATCATTTTATTAGGGGCTCATACAACTCTTATCACAATCCATACATCCATCCATTGTATAAAGCATAGTTGTACATTCATTGCCCTCATCATTCTCAAAACATTTGCTCTCCACTTAAGCCCCTGTCATCAGCTTCTCGTTTTTTCCCCTCCCTCCCCGCTCCCCCCTCCCTCATGATCACTTAATATTATTTTGTTGTATCTTGCACTGTCCAACATCTCCCTTCACCCCCTTCTCTGTTGTCCGTCCCCCAGGGAGGAGGTTATAAATAGATCCTTGTAATCGACTCCCCCTTTCCATCCCACCCTCCTGGTATGGTATCACCACTCTCACCACTGTTCACCAACTACTTCTATTAAAGTGTACAGTTAATGTCAAAAATAAAACACCCCCCCCCTTTGATTTCCATAGTGAGCCGATGGATGTCACAGGGGATGTGGGGTCAATGCTGCTCTGGCCACTGAGAGGTCACGAGTTCTAACCCACTAAGCTGCCCAAAGGGACAAAAACGAGGTTGTCTGCTTCTGTAGAGAGTTAACCGTCTCAGGAGCGTGGGGAGCAATTCTACCCTGTCCTTTGGGGTCAGTAAGGGTCAGGATCAACTCTACTGCAGCAGGTTTGGGCTTAGCTTTGGGTGGCTGCCTAAAACATCTCACCTTTGCCCGCCTTCCATCTCTTCCGTGCCCCCAAATTTGTAAAGTGAGACACAAGGTTGCAAACATTCCTAGAGAGCTTGCTGTTGGACAGTGTCCTGAGCGCATTGCTTCTGTTTCCAGTGTGTGGTCGGGCGTGGGTCCCTGCTGCCAAACCCACCACCCGTTCTGACTCAGCAACCCCATCTCTGTGTCTGAGGCTGTGGTAGCTCTTGGCGGGAGCACCCCGCTTCATCTTTCCCGCTGAATGAGGACTTCCGGGTCTGTTCCCCTTTGCCGGATTAGCTGAATGTCGGTCACTACAGCTTACGGTAATACGGCTGTTTTTATGTCTGTTTAGTGTCTGGGCTTCTATGGCGTCTGACTGACTGCAGCTTCTCTGGTTGCTCTTTGACTTTCCTTTTGTGTGTCGTCTCCAGCTTTGCATAAGCGGAGAAGCAAGCGAGAACGCCCAGGTTTGAAGAATCAGATACGACGCGGAGAGCTTTGGGGCAAAGTTCTACGAAACAGAACACAGGAGTGGGGGGAGGCAGACACCGCTGAATTGATGGGACCCGTGAGTCTCCGTGTCCCACCTGAGAAGTGATGGCCGCCTTCACGGCCCTGGTGGAGGCATGGGGCCTTGGACGGGCCAGGGCATGACCGTGTGGAGACCTTGTGGGGAGTCAGTAAGT